TAGGGCACGGGGTTGTTGAAGAGGCTGATGCCGTTGTAGTAGGCTCGCTTCACACCGAAGCCCACGGGGCAGAAGTCGTTGACGCCCACCTTGGTGATGTTGTTGGAGTGCAGGTAGACCACCTGGGGGCGGAAGGCTCTCGTTGTCAGGGGCCACCCCTCCAGGGCTACTGCGGGACTCTCCCCTCCCCACGGCAGGCAGGAGGGCCGGACTGAGCTGGCGTATGTTTCCTGGCAGGGTCGGCAGGGCCGAGGGGCTGGGCTGTGACTAGTTGACCCTGGCATGGTGTCTGTGCAGAAAGAATGGCACCTTGGGTGCCAGAGGACCCTCTAGGTTCCCCAGGCTCCAGGCCGGCCGCCAGGGTGCATGCTCTCACTCCAGAGACCCACCAGGCTCAGGAGGAGAAAAAGTCATTTGGTGTCCTGGCTCCCTCTCTGCAGCCCCTCCTGGTCCTGAGGCCAGTGGCTCTGTTGCAGAGAAGCCGAGGACCACTCCACTGGAGGGAGAGTTATCTGCCCGGGGATGGCAGCGAGGATGCCAGCCACTAGAGGGCGCGGCCTAGGCAGTGCACCACTGGCTTGCCCCCCTCACCTCCGGGCAGGGCAAGGCTGGCTCCTACCCCAGCAGGTGGCCGAGGACAGAGGCAGCCCTCATCAGCCCACTTCCCGCCCCCGCCCTGGGCTGTCCCTGTCTTGCCACAGATCTGTGCACCCCGGGCCCAGACTGTCCCCAGGGTTTCTAGGCCCTGCCACGCCTTTCTGGTGTCTGACTCCCCTAGAAGGCCTTCGGCTCCCAGATCTTCCTCCTCCTCAGCCCAGACCAAGGGCGACATGGTCCCAGTACAAACTGGGAGGAGACGGGCCGAGAGCAGAAGAGACAGCGACTCCTGTTCTGTTCTGCTCTGTATCCTGGGCCATGGAGGGATGGGCCATGGCTGTCCAACCTCCAGCCTTTGAGAGCCTGGTCCCACTCTCACCTGGAGGAGCTTTAGGTCCGGGAGGCCGGCAGGCACCCTGGCCAGCTTGTTGTTGTCCAGATGCAGCTCCCGCAGGGTGGGCAGGAAACTCAGGCTCCCGTTCTCAATCATCCGGATCTGGTTGTGGCCCAGGCCCAGCCTGTGGCAAAGCACGAATGAGATGCACTGGGGGCGGGAGGAGGAGGGCAGGCGGCCTCCCCCGGCCCCGGGGCCCCCGCCGCACCTGTACAGCTTGGAGTAGCGGAGCAGGTCCTCCAGCTCGATCGCCTGGATTTTGTTGTGGTCCAAGTGGAGCTCGTTCAGGGTCTCAGGGAGGTCTGCCCAGAGGAGAGGTGCACTGAGCTGAAGGCGGGCTCTGGGCTAGGGGCTGCCAAGCCCTTCACGGTAGAGGGCTGGGTCCAGGCCCCCGCCAGCGCCGCCCATCCGTGTCCCCGGATGCGAGGCAGTGGGCAGGAAGGGCCACCCTCCTACCTTTGGGGATGCCTGTGAGCTTGGCCTCCGAGATGCGCAGGTAGTTGAGTTTCAGGCCGTCAAAGGCTCCAGGTTCAAAGCCACTGTTCTCCAAGGGGTTCCCACCCATCTCTAGGAGAGAGGTCCCCTCAGTGCCGGGGCTGGCAGCCAAACGGCACACACCTGCTGGTGTGGCTAGGCTACTGGTGCCGTAAACCTTATTCACCCAGGGGGAGGGAGCACACAGGTCATCTCCTCTGAGCTCCCAGCTGTTCCAGACCACTGCCCCCCACCCCGCCAGGCACTGAACTTGGCCAAGGCCAAGGCCTCTGAGGGCAGGGACCAGGAGGCAAAGGAGACAAATGGGGCTCCCTGAAGCGGCCCGGCCCCTTCCTCCCAGCCGAGTCGCTCATGCTCCTTCTAGCCCAGAAGTACACTCGACTTTCTTCTGTTCGCAAGATGCTTGAACTAGAAGTGAGCCTTTAACCGACTCCTGGTCTCCTTTCACCCTCCTCTGGGACGAGGCTTCAGAACGTTCCGCAAGGCCAGCCAGGTGCACCTCGCCACGCTGGCTGGACGAGGCCCCTGACGCCATGCTGGCCGCTGGGCTGGGCGCCCCAAGCCAGGCTGCACTCACCAATGCAGTTCATGTTCCGGAGCCCGCTGAACACGCCCTTGGGCACCTTGCGGATGCGGTTGTCATGGATACGGAGCTCCACCAGGGAGCTGGGCAGGTTGGGCGGGATCTCCACCAGGTGGTTCTTGGAGATGTAGAGCTTCTGCAGCTTCCGCAGCGGGCTGAAGGCCTTCTCGTGGGTCTTGGAGATCTTGTTGTTCACCAGGACCAGGGCCTGAGGCGGGGCGGCTTGGAGGTGAGTGCGCGCCCTGCCCAGCTCGCCCCAGCCCCTCTGCCCCCAGGCCCACTGGCGATGGCACTGCAGAGGTGTCTGAGCCTGGCTGGGCCTGAGCCCCCACAGTGGGCACTACTGCCTAGCACAGCCAGTGCGCCTCTCTGCCTCAGTTGCCCCTGCTACTGGCTACAGTGAGATCTGTCCTTTCTTTTTAAAAAAATGTTTATAGAGGTTTTCACCTTAGGGCATATGCACTCACTGGAGGGAGACAGGCAGAGACGGTGAGAGGGAAAGTGGGAAATCACCCTGGGGGATGGCCGTGCACGATCCCTTCTCCATTCTCTTCCCAGGATCTTGGGCACACACGCACATGTGCCCAGCATGAGTTTCAAGTTACCCAGTCCGGGACTCGAACCACAGCTGGCCATGTGGGAGTCCAGAGACCTAACCATTACGCCACCTGCTGGCCCTGAGATGTGTTCTTTCTGTGTTGCTGGGAGAAACCACTAAGATGAAAAGTTCTCAGCCCCAAATAGACCTGAGCTGAGTGACCCTGGCCTGCACCTGTGGCTGCTCCCACCCTCACCCAGGAGGCCTCCGTGGGAGTTCCTGCCATGCCTTGCACGTTCGTGCCCCTGCACCCACCTGGACCCCCGTGTGGCCCCCAGCTGCGGACCTCATGACTCCTTGCAGCTCCTCCAAAGGCCTGCCAGGCAGGAAGGGCATGTGGGGACAGGGGGCTTACATAGAGGTGCTGGAGGCCTTTGAAGTCATCCTTGCGGAGCTCGGAAATGTCGTTGTTCTGCAGGTCCAGCAGCGTAGTGTCGGGGGAAATCTCCTTGGGCACAGCCTTCAGGCCTGGGGGCCAGCACCAGCGTCACTGGGGGGAAGGCTGCCAGGCTCTAGTAGGGGGAAGGCTGGGGCCGCACGCGTGCAAGGACTCCGGCGTGAGTGGGCAGGCCTAGAGCTTGCACTGCCACAGCACGGTCCCCAAGCCCACGCGAGCTCCCCCATCTCTGCCCCCACCCTTCCAAGCCCATCTGTGGGACACACGTGCACACACACTGACCCAGGTCGGAGCACTGAACAACCCGCAGGTGGCAGTGGCAGCCAAAAGGACACATGGCACTGAAGGTGGGTGTGACGGTGTCCGGGTCCAGGGCGCCGGAGGTCGTGTCGGCACCGGAGGCCTCCTCATCGTTCACCATGAGCGGCCCGTCATCCAGCGTGAAGTCCCAGAAACCCTTCTGCTCAAAGGGCAGGGTCTGGCCCAGGGCCAGCAGAGATGCCAGGAGCCAGATGCGCCACATAGTAGACGTGCCTGGGAGGCAGGACCAGGAGGGCAGTGTCACCCACCCCTCACCAGGGACAGCCAGAGTGTGGGGTAGCGCATGGGCTGCCTAGGAGGGCACCTCCTTCCACCGTCCCCCTCCCCTCCTCGGCTGGACTGGCCTTGGCTGGGCAGTCTCATGTCCCCTCCCCAGCAAGTCTGCAGCCCCTGGGCCACTGAGTCAGCCCGGAGCCCGCCGGCGCTTGGCCGTCCACAGGCTCTGCGGGGCAGTTTCAAGGCCAGCGCCATGCCGCCGGCTGAGTCCCTCTGCACTTCTGCACAGGCAGAGCCCTCTCGGTGCCTCTGTACGGGCAGTGCCAACAGTCCGCCGCGCATCGGCCCATCCCTTCCTGCCCATTGTCCGCTGTGCGTGTTCCCCTGACGGTGGCAGGGTCTAGAGGTCTAGGGGGGTTTGGGTTCGAGGCACCCAGTGTAAGTCTGGAGCTGGAGGGGGCCAGGCTTCCTCCTGTGGGCCACAGCCTCCCTGGGCTCAGCCTGCAGGATGGCGGGCAGGGTCAGGCTTGTCTGGAGGCCCCCCAGGTTGAGGCAGAGGGGCGGAAGGGAAGCCGCCTTGTCCGAGCCTGCCCCCGGCACCCACGTCGGCCTGCTTCCCTCCTCGCCTGGCAGAGCCTGCCCCTATGCAGAGGGGAGTTTGCCCCACAGCCCTGGGCACAGGGGACACATCTCCCAGCCCCCACAGTCCAACTGCCTGGCAAAGACCCAGGCGTTGTCCTGGCCCCCTTTGCCTACCCTCTAAATGCGAGTAACAGAGAACACACCTGCCTGGCCTGCCTCTTGGGCTTTGGTGTCTGGGGCTGCCCTGGGTGCCTCTGGAGACAAGCAGCCCAGCTGGGCACCAGGGGCCTCCTCCAGACTCCAAGGAGGCCCTCACTCAGTCTCAGTCAAGGGTGGTGCCCTCTAGGTTCAAGCGGGGTGGCTGAGTCCCTGAGCCTAGCAGCGAGCAGCGGCTGGGTGTGAAGACGCCTCCCTCCCCATCATTCCTGGAGGAGAGGATGGAGCTCCTCTGGCTCCCTGAGAAGGCAGCACCCCCACCAGTGGCTCACAGGCCCTCCTTATCCCCACTCTACCTATCCTCACGCCCTGCCCTGAGGTTGGAGCTGCAGCTGGATCAGGTCAGTCCCCCATGGTCACCCAGCTAATAGGGCCAGAGCCCCAGGCATGGCTCTGCACCCCTCTCATATGGCAAGTTGGACCTGGTGCCAGGCCCTGGGTACCGGGAAGTGCCCCCGGGAAGTGCCCAGCCTCCTTTGCTTCCATGAACCTAGAGAGCCCCCTCATCACACCTACCTACCTACAAGAGCCCCTTCCTCGTCCCCTGGGCTCGCACCCCAGGGCAGGGCAGCGCGCAGGGCTCCGTGCAGTGCTGGCCCTGGCTTTGGTGCGGGCTCCCCAGGGCTGGGAAGGGGCGGCGCAGAGCAGCGTAGCCAGCCAGCGGGAGAGGGCAGGAAGG